TGCACTGAGAACTAAATACACTTTCTCCAGACTGACTGTGAGTAAGTTATGACACATCCCCAGCCTGTGGTTGTGTGTCACCTCCTGCCTCCTCTTCTGTTGCAGGGTGTGTGTGAGGACGCAGATCTGTCGGATGCAGAGAAGGTGTATGCTGAGTGTGGCCAGAAGCTCCCTCTGCCCTGGGAGGACTGTATTCTCCCTCACCGTATGAAACGCTGTGTAAAGATCGGGGAGGGGACCTTTGGCGAGGTCTTTTCCACCACCAACGCATCAGGGGACACTGTTGCTCTCAAAGTATGTGTATTTATTGTATATGACATAAACCATATATATAATACCATGGGATTGAGGAATAACTCAACTGTACCTTGAGTTTGAAAATGTGTATTCCCAAATTGAGAGTGAAGCCCCATATGCAGGGATATTGTGTATCATGTGAATTGAAAATGGTACAACAGCATAATGAAAGTGGGTTTCTGCAGGGTCTTAAAAAGCCTTAAAAAGTGTCAAATTAAATTTTAGGTCTAGAAATGTTAAACTATTACATACTAGGTGTTAATTATGTTTAGGTATGTCTTCATCATGTTAATGTTCATTTAAAGCTTCTTCCGTCATAAATTTAAAAACTTGAATCCTACAGAAACCCTATGACACTAACTTTAGTTTTGTTGAGGTTCGTTAAATATCAAGAAACCACAGTTAAATGGGGGGGGGGGGGAATGTCACAAACATTTGTGTATTCTGCAGTGAAACAGTTTTTCTTGTCTTGACAGATAATTCCAGTAGAGGGCAGTGAGAAGGTGAACGGAGAGACCCAGAAGATCTTTGGAGAGATTCTCCATGAGATTATAATCTCAAAGTAAGTGGAACAAACCAAATCCTATTTAAGGAATACATGTTTTATAATCATATACATATGATGTGAATCTTTCAACTTCGTGATTCCTGGAACATTTAAACTAAGCAGCACAATGTGTGTGTGTCTTGGTTCTGGCAGGGAGCTGAGCAGCCTGAAAGAGAAGGAAACAAACCAGACTCACAGCTTTATTGGACTCAATGAGTAAGCACTGTGTCCGCTCCTTTTTTTCCCTTTTTCCCCTCCTGTCCGTTGGCGTCTCAGCAGTTTTGAGTGATGATGTGACTTGATGTTTTGTGTCCTCACAGTCTCCACTGCGTTCGAGGCTGTTACCCTCCTGATTTCCTAAATGCTTGGGACAAATTTGACCAGCGGAAAGGCTCCGAGAATGACAGACCAGGTCAGTGAGACAAAAGCACTTTAACATTAGTTTCACGTTACATTTACACAATGTGTTTTTGAGGTTGAAGTGGCTGGTTTGCGATTAAAAGAAATGCAGTATGTCATGTAACCCTCATCAGGGCCCTTTCAAAATTGATCCAACACAATAGTTTGAAGGAGCATGAGATCTGTTTCTCTATTTCACTGGAACTTTCTCTGCTGCTCTTTGCACAGATTTCTTTGAGAAGGATCAGTTGTTTTTAATCCTGGAGTTTGAGTTCGGCGGCGTCGATCTCGAGAACAGCAATGGAACGGTACGAACGCCACATCACAATGACAGCTGCTCATTACATTTGCACACTACATTTAAAAATAATGAGCTCAAACATTGATGAAGAGATTACATGTGTAAAAATAGCACTGTCTTGAGTCGAGTCATAACTTAAATACTTAAATATGTGTGCTGCAAACAATGCACAAAGAGGCTTAGCTGTTGCAAATGCAGCATTAGTTAAAAAACAATGAGTCAGGTATTAATCTAAAACCATGAAAAGTTTGTTGGCTTTATGTAATTACAAATACAGTCTTTAATCCAAGCCTCTCTTGTGTCATCAAGCTTGCATCTTTGGGAGTGGCGAAGAGCATCCTTCATCAGGTTACTGCCGCCTTGGCTGTTGCTGAGGAGGAGCTACACTTTGAACACAGGTAGACGCACGCACGCACACAGACACACACACACACTCACTAACTCACTAACTAACTAATTGTTTTTACGTCTGTGTCTTTGACACCCATGTTACCAGCTTGCAGTTTGGTTCTTCCCTGCCTTCGCTGCTGCATTGTGACACATCTTAGTGTTACCACCATGGGTTGATGGGTATTATTATAGTTTGACACCATTGGCAGGACAGTGTATCATCATCCAACATGAACAACTTGTAGAAAAATACTGCATAACTCAACAAGAGATTAAAAACGTTTAATACAGATTATTGTGATGATAATTTTCTTAACCAGATGTGGTCTTGATTGTCAGAAAGTAGAATAAATGTCTTATACTAATTTCCTGAGAGCTAATATCTTCAACTGTATTGTCTTGTTTGACTAAAACCCTAAAATCCACCAATGAGAACCAGCTAAAATCCTAATTTCAGACATTTTGCTGAGTGCTTACTAGAAAGACACATCAGTAATCAGCCCGAATGTAGTCTGCCTGTCTGACCGACTGATTTGTTGCTAACCGTCTCTTTGCTGCAGGGACCTTCACTGGGGCAACGTGTTGGTCAAAACAACCAAGCAGAAGACGGGGAGCTTCCTCCTGAACGGAACGGCCCACTCTCTGGAAACCAAAGGGGTGCTGGTCCGCATCATTGACTACTCCCTCTCCAGACTAGAAATCGGTCAGATAATGTGCCACTTCTTAGTTTCTACTCAGTCTTATTTTTCAGTGGCTTGATTTATAGATTCATGCACAAAATATATGACGCTATTAAAATGACAAACACTGGTCATGTGCTATGTTGTCTCCAGATGATCTGACGGTTTCCTGTGACATCTCGAAAGACGAGGAGCTTTTCATGGGCCAGGGAGATTACCAGTTTGATATCTACAGGCTGATGAGACAGGAGAATGGGTCAGTGCATTTATGTGTCAGTGACTGTGACATTTAACGTGTGTCTCACTGTAAATGTTTCATATAGAGCAAAGTAGTCATATTTACATGTAATTCATTTTAACCTATTTCACAAAAAAAACAAGAGCAGCAACAGAGACTTGATTTAAGCTCATTGAATCAATGACGTTGAAAAGTCAAAGCAATGATAAGAAATTTCCAACACTGAGGTTTTTCTTATTAACTTTTGTAGAAGACGAATCTGTGGTTTGTATGATGAGATGTTTTCATCCAGAAAATTAAATCTGACTGTGATATTGATATTTCTTTTTTATGTGATATGTCCTAAACCAATAGTGTGATATTTTGGGAAATGTTCACATTTGCAGTCTTGTAGAGAGACGGAGGAGATGATTGATACCACTTAAATCTCTGTGGAATATACGAAGCTACAGCCTGCAGATGTTCATTTAGATTCAAAGGCTGGAAACAGCTAGCCTGGCTCTGTAGAAAAGTAAACCACCAATCACAGCCAGGACGAGTGTCTGACCACTGCTCGTGCACAACAGCAGCTCTCATGTTACTGTGATGTTATTTTCCACTGCAGCTTTAATGCTAAGCAAACTTTCTCCTGGATATAGCTTCATATTTTCTTCACAGATTCGAGGATGGTATTGATCTTCTCATCTAAGTCTTGTTTCTGTATTTATGCATTTCCCAAAGTGTTCAACTCAAACAAACACAATCAGTGGATAATCCTGTTGACTTACTGTATTAGATTAACATCTCAGAATGACTGTGGTCACGATTTATTGATCCTCTATTGCTCTCTTTGTCTGTCTCAGAAACAACTGGGGCGACTACCACCCCCATACCAACGTGCTGTGGCTCCACTACCTGTGCTCCAAGCTACTATCCATGAAGTACCGCAGCTCGGGAGGGAGGGGAGCCAAGGACATTCGAGCAGAGCTCACTCGTTTCTATGACAACGTCCTCCAGTATAGCTCCGCCACCGAGGCGCTACAAAACTGCCCCATGTTTCAGTAGCACTGAACACAGGAAGTGTGAGGACGCTCAAGCACAGACTTTTCTTTTAGTGTTAAGGACGTAAAGCGTAAGTGGGTCGTCCATGGTCGACTTCCTTCAGTTGCCCACTCGCCCTTCGTGATCTCTGATATGTAAACGATTATTGATTTCCTTTGTAACACAATGACTGATGGAGGTCACTTAATGTACAGTGTAACTATCATTCCACAAAGGTTGTTAAAACGACCATGTGACAATTGTGTATTCATGTGTTGTTAATGGCTCTTATCGTAGGCTGCATATTTTCATTCATTTTATGCATCACAAGTATAAATGATGATGAAAAGAAAAGGTTCTTAATAAATTTTGACAAATATAAAGATTCTGTATAAAACAGAAAAACTACAAATCCTCACATCTGAGAAACTAGAACCAGAGAATAACTCGAATATCTTTCAACAAGATCCAGGAATTATTGTCTAAGAAAACAGTGAAAGTGCGGAAAAATCTTTAATATATCTCTGTTTAATTAAGTGAAAAATAAATTCTTAAATCCCCACCAAATTCAATGGTATCTCCCCTGAGCCATCCCATCACTGGACCATCAACTGCAACCCTGAACCCATCCATTATCTGCTGCTAATCTGGGTCCAGACGTGGACAGATTATAACACAAACTCCATCCAGGGCTGGAAGAAGTGAACACTGTCTCTAAAACTTTGCTCTGTGAAAAAAAATTCTTCAAAAGGGGCTCTTGCCAAGTCCGACCTGACTACAACATCTCATCAATTGTTTAACTATTATAATTGGGAAACACTAAAATGTGATATGTCAGCAATTCATGTGCATAATAAATGACTGTAGGCCTTATTGTTTGTTTTTAATCACTGTTAGAAAGTTAATTTCAAAACTAGTCAAACACTGACCTTGTTTATATTGTTCCTCGGTCAGTATTTCAGAAATGTGACTACATGATATAAATGTACATAAACTGCAATGAAGGATATAATGCCTCTTCTCCATCCCGTCTAGAGAGAAAATGTAGATCATCCATTTTCTACTCCCAGCTACACTTTGTACAACTTTCATGGGCATGTGGATGTGTACACAAAGAAGAAGCACGTACAAAAACAAAATATTTTATTCAATTTGTTCATTAAGATTATTATACACATTTTTGCATTGAGACAAGCTTCATTTTGGTAGGGTGAGTCGCGTGTGTCCGTCTTGACGAGGATCTTGGTTGAACATGTCGAATGCTTCCGTACTCAAAGACACCCTTGGTTGAAGATTTTGAGAAATGTACACTTGCCTGGAATAACCGTGTGATGAGATCAGAGCAACAGTTGCATTAAAAAAGGAAGACTGCTTTAAAAAAAAACACACGCACACATATGAAGACATTCCAAACTATACAAACAAGATCCGGCAGGCCAATGTTCTGAGAAGAGGTCAGGCATGTGTTTGAGAAGCACTTTTTGGTTGAGCTTTGAGGCAATGTTAGAGATGGCCTTGCTGGTGATGAGCCCATATGTCAATGTTGTCTTGTCTGTGTGTGAATGTGAGTGTGTCTTCAAGGCTGTGTATGTGGGAAGCAAACGGATGTGTATAAGAAGCGATGAACTGTATATGAGATGTACTTGCAGCTGCTGTGTGTGTTTGTGTGTGTGTGTGTGTGTGTGTGTGTGTGTTTTGTGCTCAAAAGGAGAAGTATTTGGTGAACCACTCCTGCTTCAGCCCCTCTGTCCCCCTCGGCTCCAGATACGGGCCCCTACAAAACACACGTGACACAAACATTAATTTAATATAGTGCTAAATTTCAGAGCATTTTCTTATTTTGAATTTAGTTTAAGAAACTGAGGCTAAATACACACTTCATCTACTGAGGTGCTGGCTTAAAGGCAGATTTAAAACTATGGGAAAGCTGCACACTAATTGAATGTTAAACTCAAATCTGAACAAATGCAAAGTAAAAATGAGTCTAAATTTGAACAGATACCTTCTACAAAGATATCAACATATAAAATACATATATATAGGAGGGGACACCTCAGAGGACTCATGGGAAAGACGACCCGGTAAAGAGTAACCTCTTACAAATGGCCAAATCTCCTTGTGTGTCCTAAAGGAAGTAAGTTCATTAGACCTGAATTGGAAACTGAGTGAACATTAGTGACCTTATATGATACTAACCTGACAACACTTGGCCACATAATGTAGAGCTTCACAACCACAGACCTGAACAAGAATCAGCCCCCAGCTGTTGTACAATGAGGTGACCATGACCTCCATCACTAAAATCTAATCAATCAACCTTTCAAAGTTTAGTCCAAATTTTAAGAAATTCCCTTAAAGAGACTTTTGTGAGGTAACTGTGACCTTTGCTCCCAAAATTATAATCAGTTCATCTTTGAGTCCAATTGAACAACTGCACCAAGTTTGAAGAAATTCCCTCATGGTGTTCTTGGAATATTGAGTTCACAACAATGGGACAGACAGAAACAATTCCATGATAACAAAAGAGTTTTTTTATATCTATAAAAAAGAAGTGAGAGTTGGTGTGACAGTAGATTCTCCTGCAGGAAGCTGTTAAATCAAATCTAACCCTGCTGCTGCTGCTGCAGTAACTTCATGAAGGGTAAGAGTTGATTTTAGTAAAACCTTTAAATAGTTCTTTATTTCTAATTGGCTAATCCATCCTTCCTTTTTATGCGGCTTATTTGAGACGAGACAAATCAATCAATTTAATTACATAATTAGAGATTAATGTTATATACTGCAGGGGAGTAGTGAAAAATGTGATATAATATTGTTTCTGCAGGTTTTCCATCACTTTGTCCTGTGAAACAGATGTTGAATGGGTGTGGTATAAAATAAATGCACCCTGTAAAAACCCTGTTTAGAGGCTCAGTAAAAAGTTTAATTAATTCTAAATGTCCATCTTGATATGTTGAAATAAATGAATCAGAGTTACGAGTGTGCAGCTTCCCCTTCTCTTCTCTAACATCTCAGTCGACATTTTAAAACCGCCGTACCTGATTGACTGGGCCTGCAGGTGTGCGTGGGGCTCCTGGCAGGAGGGGGACACGTAGCGGATGCCCGTCTGCGGTGACGGGCAGACGGGGAGCGGGGCGGTGGGCGCCGGGGTCGGAGGGATGCAGGAGGCCCGGGATCTGGTGGCGTGGGGGAGGGAGGGGGAGGCCTGTTGGCCGAGGGAGAGGGAGGTGTGCTTGTGCGGTAGGGAGGAGGTGGAGTAGTGGGGGGAGTTCTGAGGGTGGGAGGTGGACTGGTGGGGGAGGGTAGAGGACGAGTGCTGATGGACGGAGGAGGAGGAGGAAGACGACGAGGAGGAGTGTGGGAGGAGAATGCTCCTGTCGTAGGTGCCGGCGCTGGGGATGCTGGTGACGCGAGGAGGAGACTCCACACGTTTCCTCTGTCGGAGGAAGAGTTTGGTTTATTGTATTTTCAATCACACAAGTTACCCAGACAATGTATATTTAGGATGATGAAAATACAGACACTTAGAATTCTGTTTATAAAAATGTACGCTATTAATATATATATATATATACTCAAAATACAGAGAAGAGTATTTCGCTGCAGGATTGGTTTGTGATGCTGTGAATTGTTCCACTTGTCACGGTCACAGAGGCCAAAGTAAGTACCAGGAAGTA